TTTTTCAAGTGGCGGGTGTGAAATGTGACGGAACATTAACGGAATAATAGGAGATTTAACGGAAGTTAGTTTTCCTTCCAATTGGGTCCTTATTTCAGAATTTCATGGAGTTTGGGACTTTCATTGAGCGCAATCGAAGTTTGGGTCCGAAATTGCGAATTTGGTGTAAGTTCGGGTCCTTATGTCATATTTTTGCCAATTAGGAGAGAAGAACAGAGCTCCGGCGTTCATGGTTACTGTTTTCCGTTCACCACTTCAGTGACAAAGGTTGAAAGATCTTTTATACGTTTTTTGGAGAGAGAAAATGGACCCGATATTTATAGCGATCGGCGCTGGTTAACGGAAAAAAATTCAAAAAATGGATTGGATATTATTTTCTTTCTTTGTCTTTTGTAGATGATAATAGGCTTCTGTAAATTCAACAAACTGAGGGCCAAAAATAATAGGGCCCAAAGTGTTTGCTTGACCCCATGATTTATAATGTGACGGGCCCAGATCTATTTACCAACTATGGTAGACACTATGGGCTTTGAGACCATTCTAGCCATTTTTTGGGCCAGTGAGACCATTTCAGCACAATAAAGCATTATTAGATTAGTTCTATTTTTGAAGGCCGAAAAAATTGGTTCTATTATTTTCTTCTTTGTTGTAAAAGAGTTGAAGATGAGTTGACCTTTCTTTTTCAAATGTACTTTCGATTTCTATGAAATTTGTTTTCAGCTCTTGAAAAGTTACAAGTGAAATTACAAACATATAAACTTTTGGAGCTGAACTATTGCTATTAAGGTTTTGAATTTACTAGTTTTTATCAATTTTTAATATTCTTATTATTAGTCTATTTTCTATTAATTTATAATTTAACACCTTTACAAAAAATATGCTCAAACAGTATTTCTATATATATATAACTACAGTTAAACTAAGTCACTCCTAATTTTGACTCAATTTAGTTATGTATGTGCAACTGGTAGCAACATGATAGGTAATTGGGATCAATTTTTGGTTTTAACATGATCAAATTGTTGTAAAGAGAAAGCTAAATTAAGTGTGATCCTGTGATTCCTAACAATGATACTAAAATAAAGAAAAAAAGAGGAAAGGGATATAGATTAATCTTTTTGGACGTCGGGCATGGATACATATTAAAGTACAGACATAACAATGAGAGTCCAATTTAGGTTGTTGTGACCAGTTGCTAAAGTACCGAGGTTAGAGGTGTTTCGATGCGTGGATTAATTTAGATTTTAATATTTTTTAAATCAATAAAATTTTTAAACTAATCAAATTTAAATAAACCCGGTTATGCAATGCCTAATTAATGCTGTTAGATGTTTAGAGAGTGAAGTAAAAACAATGTCGGCAGACCAGCTTTATTTTGTTTGATTTTGAAGATAGCGTAGAAGGAACAAATGTGTTGTTCAAAAAGAATTAAAAGATGTACAAAAAGAGAAAACCAACCTCGGTTTTATTTTTATTTTTGATTTAGAGTTGTTTTAACTTGCGTCATTAGAACACATATGAAGAATATATTTTAGTATTAATTATTATTAAAAAAATAAAATTTAATATTTATTTAATCAATTGAACTATTAAAATAATACATATAGCATTAATAATGAAATTAATGTCAACTTTTATTACTTTTTATATTAATTAATACTTTTCTTAAATTAATTTTTACTTTTACTTCATTTTAAAACATTAATTCAGCTTTTTCAACAAATTTCTCTCTAATAACTATTCCTTGAATTTTCTTCATCTTCAAGGGAACAGATCAACCTCTTCAAGGAAAAACTTTGAGTTTTCTTCATCTTCTTCCTTGAATTTCTGCACTTTGTTCTTAAAGCTTCAGTATACTGATTGTGTGATTAAAATTCATTTTAGTGGGTATTGTATTCTGGGAATAACATTTCCTATAGAGAGATGAAAACTATTATCCTTAAGAAAGGTTCTAGGAACCGTCTTATCCACAACAATTGCATTTACAACTCTCTACATACAACACCATGGCTCTGTATCTAAAAATTTTTAAATTAAGTAATAAATATAGATTATATTTGATATTCTTGCCTTGGTCTAGTGGTCAGCTTGATTAAGTGAGAATCATCTCTTGTTAGTTGCGTTTTTAAACTTCACTAATCCCATTCCCCCTTCTTCCTATTTGCCCTGTTGACAAATATAGATTATATTTGATCTATATTGAAAAATATTCACAGTGAATAGAAATAAGTAGTATTAATTTACCACTACTCATAATTTCTTTTTATTTTAATTGGAATTTTTATAATTCAACTAACATAAATGCCCAGGAAAAAAAATAAAAAAACAATAGTTATACTTAAGTTCTGAGGGTGTGTTTAGTATATAGAAGTTTGTGGTTAGTAGTTTGTAGTTTGAAATTTAAACTAATCAAAAGAGTATATATATATATTTA